AGAGTAGGGGAGATGGTTGGACTCGATGATCCCAAGGGTCTCTTCCAACCTCAATGATTCTATGAATTGTCAATATTCACTCCCTGCCTGGGTGAAACTCGAGGTTTATAGCGAATTTGAGATGAGTGGGTCGGGCTGGACTCGGGTTTGATTGGAGAGAGAGAGGGTTGGGCTCCCCGTGATGGTGTCACCTCTGGCTCAGGTTGTCATTATCAGGAAAAACTTCCTTCCGGGGGAGCTTTTTCTCTCTCTTTTCTTCTCGCCTCCCATCGCCGCTACCGGTTTGAGCAACGAAGGTGTGGGAGGAAACCAGAGGTGTTACTCTTTGTTATCGCACCATCGAACCCTTTCGGAGAAAGCAACTCCCCTTTCTAACATCATTTCTACTTTTTACTGCTCTGTGGCGAGGCAAGAGATTTGGTGCCAGCCCCGTGGCGAGAGCCCGCATTTGGGGGTTTCCTGAGCCCTGATGACACAAATTTGGGTGTCCTTCAGGACCACCAGTGTCCCCTTGTGCGAGACAGGGGCCGACAACTCCAAATCCTTCAGTCCAACTTCACCCTCTTTTATTTAGCCCCTTCTGGATGGTGGTTTTTTCCAATTATCACTGTTTATTTTTACTGTGAGGCAAGAGATTTGGTGCCAGCCCCATGGCAAGAGCCTGGATTTGGGGGTTCCTTGAGCCCTGGTGACACGAATTTGGGTGTCTTTGAGGACCACCAGTGTCCCCTTGTGTGAGACAGCTCCAAAGCCTTCAGTCCAACTTCACCCTCTTTTATTTAGACCCTTCTGGAGGGTGTTTTTTTCCAATTATCTGTTTATTGTTACTGCTCTGTCCGTGCGAGGCAAGAGATTTGGTGCCAGCCCCGCGGCGAGAGCCCGGATTTGGGGGTTTCCTGAGCCCTGATGACACAAATTTGGGTGTCCTTCAGGACCACCAGTGTCCCCTTGTGCGAGACAGGGGCCGACAACTCCAAATCCTTCAGTCCAACTTCACCCTCTTTTATTTAGCCCCTTCTGGATGGTGGTTTTTTCCAATTATCACTGTTTATTTTTACTGTGAGGCAAGAGATTTGGTGCCAGCCCCATGGCAAGAGCCTGGATTTGGGGGTTCCTTGAGCCCTGGTGACACGAATTTGGGTGTCTTTGAGGACCACCAGTGTCCCCTTGTGTGAGACAGCTCCAAAGCCTTCAGTCCAACTTCACCCTCTTTTATTTAGACCCTTCTGGAGGGTGTTTTTTTCCAATTATCTGTTTATTGTTACCGCTCTGTCCGTGCGAGGCAAGAGATTTGGTGCCAGCCCCGCGGCGAGAGCCCGGATTTGGGGGTTTCCTGAGCCCTGATGACACAAATTTGGGTGTCCTTCAGGACCACCAGTGTCCCCTTGTGCGAGACAGGGGCCGACAACTCCAAATCCTTCAGTCCAACTTCACCCTCTTTTATTTAGCCCCTTCTGGATGGTGGTTTTTTCCAATTATCACTGTTTATTTTTACTGTGAGGCAAGAGATTTGGTGCCAGCCCCGCGGCGAGAGCCCAGATTTGGGGGTTCCCTGAACCCTGATGACACGAATTTGGGTGTCCTTGAGGACCACCAGTGTCCCCTTTTCGGGCCCTGT